GCAGCGGACCCTGCCTGAGCGACAAAGGAGCACACTGTGTGTCTGAGTGGGATGGTTATAGGTGTCTTTGCCCAGACGGTTATGGAGGACGTGATTGCCGAGAAGGTAATTCAGTAAAAGCATCATGATCTTGTGTTCGAAGTTCAGTTGCAGGTACATGTGTGATCCGCTCTGCAAAATAGGGTATTAAGTTGCACAATGCTTAAACATGTAATGACCTGTTCTATTTGCAAATTTTCTTTAAAAATGCGGTTTTGTGTATTTTTACTTTAATAGCTTCTATAACATATATATTTTCAGAATTTGTGACTACAGACATGAATACTGATGAACAAAGATGAAAAGTTGTTCATTCAGTAAGAAATCCTATATAGCATTGTGTTTCCAAGTGCTGCACTTTATGAGCTTTTTCTTAAAAAGTGCTTTTATTGAATCCGAAAATATGGACATACAAATGTCTGTATATCTTCGGAATGCAGTGCAGGGGTCATTTATATATCAAATTGTAGCTTTTGATGTACAGAATCCAACAATATCAAAAACTCGATCATAACTTGAATCTGGCGACTTATTACCCATTTTTCTAGAGCCAGTCACATATTCAAACCCATCCTGTGAGTTATTAACAGGGCTTGTGCTCTTCAATATAAGGCCCGACTCGGAGTGGGACCAAGAAAGGTCGCAATTTTCCTAGCAACGGAGGCTCTGATGGTTAGAAATGGCAAAGGCTTTAAATTTGCTGGTCCACAAACGACTATAAAATGCATGTGTTACGGTCGCTTGGCTACCAACAAAATGAACACTCCAGAAGCATGGCTCTTTTCAGCCGATGAGGGGGTGCTTCTGCTCTAGACAGATACCCTTAAGCCTGATACTTTACAGTAATTAGCTTTCCCTTTCAAGAAATAAGTGGGATTTTATCATCTTTATGAGTGCTTCCGGAGCTTACCTTGTGAGTCATGAAATTCTGTGAATATTTATACCCTGTTATCTGGAGATATTTATAAACTCTTTATTTTTTCCTCAGAAAGTGCCATCTAAAACCTTATTTTATCAACAGTAAATTACTTTGTAAATCATACTTTCATTGCTTGTTTCTTTCTTGTGTCAAACATTCTTTCCTTTGAGGAATGGTTCTGTGTGTGACACCGATATGTAAAATTTCTAAACTGTGGGTGTTTCTTTAGGTTTTAAACACTGAGCTCTGAAGTGAGTATCATTCACTTTCTAAATTACAGATCTCTCAGATGTGATCACTTTCCAAGGCAATGGCCTCTTGACCTTTAAAGATCTGACCTCTCCTGCCAGCATACCGTGGCTGAACCGTGTGGTGTTCCGCACCAGAGACTTTAACGGAGTCCTGATGAACATTCAGCTCTCCTCTTCACTCAGCATACATATTGAGGTGAGATTATATTTAGGGGGAGGGAAGAAAAATGGTGGACTAGTATAAGTAGTTCCTTTTCACTAAGCTTTCACTGTTCCTTTACATTCTTTGCTGTGTTGAAAACACCATCAGTTGAGTAATAAGGAAGTTAATGTACAGACCTGTAAAAAACTATACTGGATGTTCTTATTCTCGCTATTTGGAGATTTACTTCTCTCAGGTATCCCATAGTGGCATTATATAATACAAAGTTAGATTTGGTTAATAAACCTGCCTATCAGGTACGCATTGGGAAAGTGACATCAAAACATGAAGTACGTTATATGCTTGTTGGGTGCTTTCTGATTGCTCCTTCCACTTTTCATGAATAAATTGTCTTGCAGTTTCTTTCTTGCCGTCTTTGTCTTAAATCAAGCTGTATTATTCGATGTTTAGCCATTCGTCAATCAGGGTTACTTGAATCGTCAACAAGCACTAATTATAACTCATATCAGGTGTTGGTTAATACAGATGATGATGTTTTGTTTATTTTGTAGCTGGAGTCTGGTGAGATTCAGTATCGGACGCCTACAGTGACTGCTAAACTGGAGGGAGTTGAAGTGAATGACGGCCAGTGGCACGACTTCACTGCTGAGTGGAAGAACAACCAGATTGTACTGACACTAGACTTCAACCAACACACGGTGAGTTATCCATCCCCTTGGTCACTTTGTAGCATCTACTGTAACGTTACTGCTATGGCCATTCCAGTGAGCCAAATGCATTTCTTGCACAGGGGCAAATGAGATGAGGTGCATGTTTGGGAAGGATGATGAAATGGCAGGGGTCTTCACGTTACCTCTTGGGCAGTAGTTGGATGATCACACCATTTTCTCGTTAATACCCTTCAGTTTAGCATTGTTGTTGATTCCATGCCCTTCCCTGCATCCTTTGACAAGTACCCACTACCTTTCTACTTTTTACCTTGAGTAGCTTGCTGCCGCATTTGTGCCTATTGCAAGTCCATCACAAGCCATTGGGTCATACACTATTCAACTGAAGTATGACCAAGGTACTCCTTTGCCTCTGTTCACTGTGCCTCTTGTGATTGGTCTTGTGAATGCACTTGTGATAGAGTCATCTACAACATTGTCTTGAAAGTTATGGTATCTTAAAAGCTCTAATGCTTTCCTGAAGGATGTAGATCACTTTGCTTAGGTTTCGACCAGTTTCATGTGTTCTCTTTGGACATGTTTTATTCATTCCCACCAGACATCCGTGGCTGCCCAGGACACCATTGATGGTCAGAGTGTCAGCACTGTCTACGTTGGTGGCTTAGTTACTGCAGAGGATACCAGGCACGGCTTCACAGGCTGCACACAAGGCCTGAAGGTTGGGGATAATGTCCTTTCATTGGCTATAGCCAAGCAGCGGAACATCCAGCTGGGCTGTGTTCAAGTAGACTCCTGTTCCTTTGAGTCAGTCAGTTGCCCAGCTGCCAGTACCTGTGTGGATCTCTGGGGGAAGTATGAGTGCATCTGCAACCAAGGTATGTTCACCATCGGATTTTCATGGTGTTTCTCTCCCATTTTGAACCTTTGAATGTCATTACTGCTGGCCTGGCCTTCTTGCTACCTCTGTTTTTGTCTGCTGCACTGTGACCTTCCAGCCCATGTACTTCCTAGCTAACACCACAGACAGTTACAGAGTTACAGCAGATTCTGCTTTCTCAAAGGCCCATTTATCCTTTGACTCATTAACTGAATTGTAACAATATCAGATCTCTTATCAAAAAGTGTACAAGTGAATGGACTTCTTATTTATAGGATAACTGCAGTTTTTCTGATCATATAATCAAACATTTCAATGAGAATCTAAAGAGGCAAAAAGAAAAGCAATATGATGAATCCAGTAATAATCAAGAACTTGTGCAGGACCAGGAAATAATAGTAAATTGCATTTATAAAGTGCTTTAAGCAGGCATTTTGAAGCACTTATTTTCAAAATTTGAATAAGTGTTTCTTCAGCTGAGTCGTGAATCTGTCCATCCTGGGTGAGTGTTGAGTATGCGGTTTGAGTCGAAAGATTAACAAGTTAACAAGTTATTTGGTAAAAAGATTTAAATAAAGTAGAATTCAATGAAAATATTCATATTTGTATAATCTTTGTAGTAATTTCAGTGTTGAAATTGGTTGGACCGTTTTTGCCAAACACTTT